CCTTCCATGCCTGTCACTGAAGTGTTAGTGGCAGCAGGTTCTCGTCCCACAAGGCAGCTGGTCTGCCCTTGCTGGACACCGTTCTGACCCGCCTGGAACTGAGGTCTGCACCGTGCCCTGTGCTAGGTCTGTGCCCTCGGTGTGACACTCAGAGCCCATCCACCTTACTTTTACACCAGTGAGCACACTGTATTTCCTTAGCTAATTTAACAAGCTAATCCCTCGCTCAAGGCTCTCCCTGCTTGTCAGTGACCCCATAAAAGGAATCATCTAAAATTAGGCCAAATATCCTGAACGTGCTCTGAGCAACGTAAAAAACAATGGAGCTGCCATCAGATGAGACCGTCACCCACATACCTTTGTAAGATTACAAAGGCCCATGTTCTCTAGAGAGGGTTAGGAGAGAATCTTATCATCATAAATAGCTGGTTTATTAAATTAATAAAGGAAGAGATCAAAGGGGAGGGTCAGCCATCATACACACGGTCATCTGGGCAGCTTCCTGCTCCCCAGGGAACCCCAGCTCCTTTCCCTGCAGATCCCTGAGGGAAGGCATGGAACAAATGGGGAGATGGGCGCATGCCCCGTGAAGCTGGGGTGACGTAGAGAAGGCGAGGGTGGAGCCACTGCAAACATGAGAAACCTTGGAAAGTCAAAGTCCCCAGACAAAGAGCTCCCTCTCTTGCTCTGTGACCCACACTCACCGCTGTGCTCGCCTGTTCTCTCTCCATAGCCATGTGGCCTTAAGCAGCTGCGGGGAGTATGGCCGTGTGGCCTCCATATGCAATGGACAGGGAACAAAGCCAGGATAGCCAGGTGCTGTACCTTAGCATGGCCCTGGGCAGGGACCTTCACTCTGGCCCTGCGGAGGGCAGGATTGGACTTTCTCCATGGCAGGAAGGACAGAAATAGGACCTTGGAGGGGATCCCCCTGATTTACCTCATCACTAAAGCTTTCCATGAAGCCCATCCTCCCTGTGGCCTCAGGAGCTCCACTCCCACTGCTAACGGTGACAGCCCTACCGTTGCCACATTCCCGCTGCTGCCTGTGGACGTGTGGTCTGACAAAGCCCCAGCGAATTCCCCCAAGCAGCCCTTCCGTGGAACTACCCCTGAATTCTAGAAGCCGGTGGTCAGATTCCATCCTGTCAACGTTTGTTGGCTGGAGAGTCTTTGTGAACACTGAGCTGCCCGCTGCCACCCAGCATTCCCTGCCAGGTTTGTGTCACCTTTGAATCGAATAAACCCACTTTCTACCTCTTCACCCAAATTACCGATAAAAATGTTAAAGATGGCCCGGCCGATGTGGCTCAGTGGTTGAGCCTTGACCTATGAACCTGAAGAACATGGTTTGATTCCCTGTCAGAGCACATGCCAGGTTGCAGGCTCGGTCCCCAGTAGAGAGTGTGCAGGAGGCAGCCAATCCAGGATTCTCATCACTGATGTTTCTATCCCTCTCCCTTCCTCTCTGAAATCAATAAAAATATATATTTTAATGTTAACGATGACAGGTCAGACATTCCCTCCACAGTATTTGTTGAGCACCTATCATTGGAAAGGCGCTCAGGACAGGAGTGAGAGGAGAAATTGTGTGTGGACTGGGACAGATCCCCAAAATGTAACCACTTAGGATCAGGTGCACATCTCCTGGGAGATTTCATTGGCTCATTAGGAACTTGCTGGTCACACCCCTCCTCCTGCTCAAGCCCTCTCCTCTGCTCTCATCTTTCCTCCTGCTCACACCCTTCTCCTGCTCACACCTCTCCTCCTGCTCACACCCTCTCCTCCAGCTCACACCCTCTCCTCCTGCTCCCACCCTCCTGCTCACACCTCTAGTCCTGCTAATACCTCTCCTCCTGCTCACACCTCCCCTCCTGCTCACATCCTCTCCTCCTGCTCACACCCTCTCCTCCTGCTCACACACTCCTACTCACACCCGTCTTCCTGCTCACACCCTCTCCTCCTGCTCACACCTCCCCTCCTGCTCACACCTCTCCTCCTGCTCACACCCTCTCCTCCTGCTCATGCCCTCTCCTCCTGCTCACACCTCTCCTCCTGCTCACACCTCCCCTCCTGCTCACACCCTCTCACACCCTCTCCTCCTGCTCACGCCCTCTCCTCCTGCTCATGCCCTCTCCTCCTGCTCACACCTCTCCTCCTGCTCACACCCTCTCCTCCTGCTCACACCTCTCCTCCTGCTCATGCCCTCTCCTCCTGCTCACACCTCCCCTCCTGCTCACATCCTCTCCTCCTGCTCACACCCTCTCCTCCTGCTCATGCCCTCTCCTCTGCTCACACCTCCCCTCCTGCTCACATACTCTCCTCCTGCTCACACCTCTCCTCCTGCTCACGCCCTCTCCTCCTGCTCACACCTCTCCTCCTGCTCACACCCTCTCCTCCTGCTCACACCTCCCCTCCTGCTCACATCCTCTCCTCCTGCTCACACCCTCTCCTCCTGCTCACACCTCTCCTCCTGCTCACACCCTCTCCTCCTGCTCACACCTCCCCTCCTGCTCACATCCTCTCCTCCTGCTCACACCCTCTCCTCCTGCTCACACACTCCTACTCACACCCGTCCTCCTGCTCACACCCTCTCCTCCTGCTCACACCTCCCCTCCTGCTCACACCTCTCCTCCTGCTCACACCCTCTCCTCCTGCTCATGCCCTCTCCTCCTGCTCACACCTCTCCTAATGCTCACACCTCCCCTCCTGCTCACACCCTCTCACACCCTCTCCTCCTGCTCACGCCCTCTCCTCCTGCTCATGCCCTCTCCTCCTGCTCACACCTCTCCTCCTGCTCACACCTCCCCTCCTGCTCACACCCTCTCACACCCTCTCCTCCTGCTCATGCCCTCTCCTCCTGCTCACACCTCTCCTCCTGCTCACACCCTCTCCTCCTGCTCACACCTTCCCTCCTGCTCACATCCTCTCCTCCTGCTCACACCCTCTCCTCCTGCTCACACACTCCTACTCACACCCGTCCTCCTGCTCACACCCTCTCACACCCTCTCCTCCTGCTCACACCTCTCCTCCTGCTCACACCTCTCCTCCTGCTCACACCCTCTCCTCCTGCTCACACCTCCCCTCCTGCTCACACCCTCTCACACCCTCTCCTCCTGCTCACGCCCTCTCCTCCTGCTCATGCCCTCTCCTCCTGCTCACACCTCTCCTCCTGCTCACACCTCTCCTCCTGCTCACACCTCCCCTCCTGCTCACACCCTCTCACACCCTCTCCTCCTGCTCACGCCCTCTCCTCCTGCTCATGCCCTCTCCTCCTGCTCACACCTCTCCTCCTGCTCACACCTCTCCTCCTACTCACACCCTCTCCTCCTGCTCACACCTCTCCTCCTGCTCACACCTCTCCTCCTGCTCACACCCTCTCCTCCTGCTCACACCTCTCCTCCTGCTCACACCCTCTCCTCCAGCTCACACCCTCTCCTCCTGCTCCCACCCTCCTGCTCACACCTCTAGTCCTGCTAACACCTCTCCTCCTGCTCACACCTCCCCTCCTGCTCACACCCTCTCCTCCTGCTCACACCCTCTCCTCCTGCTCACACACTCCTACTCACACCCGTCCTCCTGCTCACACCCTCTCCTCCTGCTCACACCTCTCCTCCTGCTCACACCCTCTCCTCCTGCTCCCACCCTCCTGCTCACACCTCTAGTCCTGCTAACACCTCTCCTCCTGCTCACACCTCCCCTCCTGCTCACACCCTCTCACACCCTCTCCTCCTGCTCACACCTCTCCTCCTGCTCACACCTCCCCTCCTGCTCATACCTCCCCTCCTGCTCACACCCTCTCACACCCTCTCCTCCTGCTCACACCCTCTCCTCCTGCTCACACCTCTCCTCCTGCTCACACCTCTCCTCTTGCTCACACCCTCTCACACCCTCTCCTCCTGCTCACACCTCTCCTCCTGCTCACACCTCTCCTCTTGCTCACACCCTCTCACACCCTCTCCTCCTGCTCACACCCTCTCCTCCTGCTCACACCTCTCCTCCTGCTCACACCTCTCCTCTTGCTCACACCCTCTCACACCCTCTCCTCCTGCTCACACCTCTCCTCCTGCTCACACCTCTCCTCCTGCTCACACCTCTCCTCTTGCTCACACCCTCTCCTGCTTATATCCTCTCCTCCTGCTCACGCCCTCTCCTCCTGCTCACACCCTCTCCTCCTGCTCACACCTCTCCTCCTGCTCACACCTCTCCTCCTGCTCACGCCCTCTCCTCCTGCTCACACCTCTCCTCCTGCTCACACCTCTCCTCCTGCTCACACTGCTCCACCTGTGACCTCTCTGCCTGGGCTCCTGGAAGGGCAAAGGAAGAAAGCTCAGCACTGCTCCAGAGCCGCCCGCCATCAGTGAGGTGGGCTTACTGCAAGATGTATATAAAGTCAGTGGGCGGGCCTCCTTCGGCCGGGCGGGGCCACAGAGCTCAGATTAGATGAGCAGACAAGGCCCAGCAGAGTTGGCGATGAAGCCGACGGACCACGGCCCCGCTCATCCCTCCCTGGAAGAGCATCCTGTGCCCACACACCAGGCAGAGCCTCTGGTGCCCGGGGGCTCTGTCTTCGGGATTTGGAGTCCGAGCTTTCAAGTTGCCTTGGCAGACATGAAAGGAGCTGGTAGGGCTGGGCATGCCTTCCATGCACGTGCCGCTGCCAGGGAAAGAGCCTGTCCTGGACCCCGGAGGGTGCACACAGGGGACGTGAGCCGGGGCTGCGGCCTGAGCTGAGCCAGCTGAGTGCAGGCTGCGGGCATTGCCAGCGAGAGGAGTCCCTCCGCCAGCCTCAGCCTGTGAGCATGCGCATGAGAGTCTCCGGGGCCGCCGTGGGCCGGGTCATTTGTTACCTGGCACACCGTGGCCGTCCTGACTGTGAGAGATTGCTGCCAGCTACAGAGGAAGCTCCCAGAAGCACAGAGCTGCCTTCCGTGGGCCAGGCCGCCTGGAGGACAGTCACCCCTCCCATCCTGCCCTTTGGGGCCCTCGTGAGCACTCACCCGAGTCGGACACGGCTGGGCTCACCAGGCTGAGCAGCTCCCGCTCCTTCTCGTAGTCGCCTTTGCAGAGCAGCTGACCCTCCTTCAGCACGAACTCGTCCCCCTTCTGGAGCTGCCGCTCGCACACGCAGCAGCAGAAGCAGCCCAGGTGGTACACGCTCTTCTGGGCCCGCATCACAAACTCGTTGGGGGCGATGGCCTCGAAGCAGCCCCCGCATTTGACAGCAAACAGCCTGGGAGGGGGACAGAGGCGAGAAGTCTGTGACCAAGGTCCGCGGCCCCATCTCCCACACACCAGCAGCAAAAGGAGCCCGAGAACGGGCCGAGGAGGCGTGGCCCCAGAGGACACACTGGGGCTCCCACCAAGGCCACTCCCGTCCTCGCATGCTGCAGGGTGGCCTGGGAGAGGCGCTCTTTTCCAAATGCCCTCGGGACAACCTGATCCTGTGTCAGAGCCTGTGGCATAAGCAAGAGATAATGTGCCCTAAAAATACCTCTGGTTCACCCCTGGTGGCATCCATGTCTCTATTTCCAAAACAAAGAGCTGTTTTCTTTTCGAAGCAACTGGGAAAGAAAGCCTCTCTGTGACGCCAGAGGGTCAAGGGCGTGGAAAGGCACCAGCTGACGGGAGAGGACACAGCAAGGCGGTGGAACTGCCCGAGGCGAGCACACCACTCCACGCCCGCCCCTCCCGGAGAGGAGGCAGCCCCTGGAGGAGGAACGGCCACCTCCCAGGGCCCCGAGAAGGACAGGCCAGCCCGCAGGCACGTCCCACACGGCCGGTCAGAAGCACAGGCCTGGGCCGCCTCACAGTCCCCCTGCTCACACCTGGTTCACCCGGTCGCCTCTTTCTTCCTGGAAACTTAAAGAAGGGGGTGAGGCTGGTGTGGCCCCAAACACAGGCCCAGGGGCCAGCAGCCCCCCCTCCTCCGCTGCCTGTGTGGGTGCTGTCGGGTCTGGGCCTCCAGGCGTACAGATCCCCTGACAAGTCGTCTTCACACACACACACACACACACACACACACACACACCCTGTGCTGGGTGCTGTGCATCCGAAGAGCCACCTCTTCACCCCTGTGGGCCAACCTGAGCGCCAGTCAGTCCCTTGCGGGAACCCCTCCTGGGCCCGTTGTCCCAAGGCCCCTCTGCACCCCCCCTCCCCGGGCTGACACTCAGGAGGGAGGCCCAGGCGCCTGCAGCTGCAGGTGCCAACACCTGTGCTTGTTAGTCCTCCCCCCTGAGTCAGTGCCTCCTCTTCCTCCTCCTCAGGGTAGCCCCCACTACAACATTCGCCACCACCGAGAGAGGGTCCGGTGGGCTCCCCAGCAGCTGGGGAAGAGGCGGGCATTGTCTGGGCTCAAACCTCAGGCTGGTCAGTGGGGATCAGAGACGGGGACCGAGGTGCAGTGCTGTCTCTCCTCCACCAGGCCCCCTCACCTCACCTCTTGTCGCCCTCACTCCCCCTGGGCACTCAGGGAGCAAAGCACACACAGCCGGTCACACAGCCCGTCACGTGTGCCATATGTGTGCACAGCTGCCGGCGCCACGGAGAACGCAGCTGCTGACATGACCTTCCACTTTTCTTGAAGGTTCAGAGCAAGTCCAGGTCAGAAGTCTAGATCCCAATTAAAACCCAGCTGTCTCTCCCAGTTTCCCAGGGCCTGCCCCCTCGGAACGCTACTGTGGCCTCGCTGGGGCAGCACAGGCAGGTCTCACCACGGCCAGTTCTGCTGGGCATCGGGCAGCCCTGGCCCCCATCACAGATTCTCCTGGGAACGTGCTGTCCCCCCTCACCGCAGGGGAGCGCCATGTGGCTGTGGGCAGGCACCAGGCAGGCCGCCGTGGCGTGAGTCGGAGGCGTGGGGGAGGGAGTACTCAGACAAGAGGGACAGAGGGCAGCAGGAGTGAGCCCCTCAGACAATCTCTTTCGTCCCAGAGGGGCCAGCTTGACGCCACCCCGCAGCCTCCTGCCTGTCCCGGTGCCCTGGAGGACGCAGAGAGGAGGAAGGGGCCGTTTGGGGCCAGAGCACAGGAGGTGGAGCAGGAAGGCTGGCTCCTGGTCCGTCCTTTTCCCAGAGAACTCCGCTCGGACCTTCGACGGGCCAGAGTGACATAACACTTGGAGCCTGGGCAGACTCGGCGTTTGTTCCAGGCGTCCCCCACTCCACACCTGTTAACCAGAGGCACCCAATCGCGAGCACCTCATCTCAGGCCCCAGACAGTTTCGGCATGACCCGCCTCACCACCCAGTTCTCCAAACAAAGTCTTCCCAGAACTGTATCGTTCACAGCTGCATCTTCATAAACACAACACAGCAAAGGCCAAAGGAATTGTGTGCAAACACACGCGCGCGCACACACACACACACACACACACACACACGCGCGCGCGCGCCACCGTATGTATATATGTATAAGTCTGTGGGTGTGTGTGGGTGTGGCTGTTTGTTGTATTATATATATCTTTTGGGGGAACATGAAGGAGGAAGGAAGTACCCAGAGTGGGAGAGGGACAGGGGTAAGATGCAAGCCCGTGGGACTGTGGGAAACACATTTCTAAAAAGAATTTATCCATTGATTGATTGACTGATGATTGATTTCTAGAGATTCCACTTAAAGAAATCTTTAAGCGGTTTCTCCTAAGCATGTCTGGAACTCCTCAGGCCAAAAAAGTCCTCAATTAGCTCCATTTCATGCTTCATGCTTCTCATGCAGTTTTGGAGCCCTGCTCTGTAGCCATGGAGACAGGAGGTTCCCAGAGCAGGATGAAGCTGGCACCTGAGGGGACAAGTCTCAGGCGGTCAGGAGACGGGAGCTTGGGTGGGACGGGAGGGCTGTCCCTGAGCGGCAGGAAGAGCCAGTGGACGGCCTGCAAGGCCAGGTGGACAGTGGCCCTCGCTGCCCATGTGCGTCCAGGCAGAGCCACTCTGCATTGCAGGTCCTGTCATAGCGACATAGCTCAGCCCAAACCATTCACTGCAGAGGAAAGGAGCTCGTGGAAGACGGAAACGGGAATTCATCTTTTCTGCACACGCGCGTGGCGCCAGGAACTGCGGCATTGCTACAGCCACGGCCGCGCCACCCCGGGAAAGAGCTCGACGAGAACCCCTGTGTAAGCTCCGTCTCTCGGGTCTGGGCCTCGGGGGCCGGCTCACAGGCTCTTCTCCCCTCTCTCCTGCGCCCTGTCCGGCCAGCACGGTCTTCTCAGCAGAACTAAGCAGAAAGATCAGCAGGTGGGATGTGGCCGCAGCTCGTGTGAGGGTTTCTGGACCGGCCCCTGGCTCTGCAGGGCGTCCTGGGGCTGCGGCCCGGGGGGGACGGGCAGGAGTCAGGCCCAACCTGACCCCGTCGCGCTCTGGGCCCCAAAGTACCCAAAGGGACCCCGAGAGAGGCCTCTGCTGTGGATTTAGGTTAAGATCACTCAGTGCCTGGGAGCCCCCCAACTCAGCACCCCCGTGAGGAGGCCACGCTACCCCAACCGCTCAGGGACCACGACCGTTCCTGCTGGGACCCCGCCCGCTGGGAGCGTGGGGGCATTGTTCCTGCGGTGCCGGCAGAAATGCAGGCCAGCGGGTTGGGCCAGGAGGAGCCTGGGAAGCTCAGCCACAGACATGGAGCTGTGGGAACAGCAAGAGCGGAGGCCACATGGAGCCATCAAATCCCCTTAGATCCAGGTCCCCACCCCCCACACACGCCACCGCTCAGCTCTGTGACCTTGGTCTGCGGATGGCAGTGTTCACTCACCAATGACTGGACCATGGAAAGAACCCGCCTCACAGAGCCCGGTAAGGACCAAACGCATTAAACCTCCTAGCACAGTGCTTGGCACATGTAAGCCTTCAACAACACGGGAACCATACGGTGATGGTGAAGAGAGTGGAGAATCAGGATTAGTAAAGGAGATGGAGAGAGAGGACTGGGCAGGTAGGTCAGACCGAGGTCATGAGTGATACAAGGATGTGGAGGCCAGCTTTTCGGTTGTGCTGGCTGTGGACGTGGGGACCAGATCCCACCCGCGGCAGTGGCCTTGGGCTGGGCATTTGTCTGGCTTTACCCGGCTAAGCATTCTAGCATACTTCCGTGAAATGCCTTCTAGCTCTATCAGGTAACAACCAAGTGATTTTCTCCTCAGTATCAATACTTCTGACTTTTTTACCCATGAATGCCCGTGCCTTCCTCCACTCTCTGCTCACCTGCCCCTTGTCCGCTAGATGCAGACACTAGAAGCTGCATCATCCCCTTATCTGGGAGCACAGGGAGACTGTAGCACATGGCAGCCTCATCAACACCCAGCACCACCCTCCCACCCCCCAGCAAGTGCCTGGAGGCCCAGGAGGACCGAGCAGGAATATAAGGGGACCCCACCATGACACCCCGGGGCAGGTGTGCAAGGTTGAGCTCTTCATTAACCTGAACCCAGAATCCTGAAGACATCAGAGGGGGCTCCGCCGAGCCTCCGCGCCACGGAAAATTAAGTGAAGGATGGAGACCAAAATCACACAGCTTCCAAACTGAGCAGCTGGGTGTGTCTGGGTCTCACTCCGCCAGAATGCGCAGAGAACTGCTGTCAGCCTCCAACAGCAAGCGCTGCAGGCGAGGCACCTTTCCCCCAGCACTGCCCAGCCCCCTTCCATCAGGGCTATTGCATTTTTAATTGGTTTTTAGAAAGAGAGGAAAGGGGAGAGGTTGAGGGAGAGAGAGAAACATCCATTTGTCATTCCACTTGTATGTGCATTCAGGGATTGATTCTGGTATGTGCCCTGACCAGGGATGGAACCACAGCCTTGGCCTATCAGGATGACCATCCAACCAACGGAGCTCCTGGCCAGGGCCCAGCAGTGTATGTCTAAGTCCTGGGTTGAGGAATGTGGGAGAAGGTCTTTGTGTCCCTCTGCAATGCAGGCTCAGTTTCCACCTTCTCCACCAGGGGGCAGTACAGCAGCATTCACGGATGCCATGTTGACTTGGTAACTGAGGTCATCCAGGCACCAAGACAGGCATTGGCCATAAGCCAAGACTGTCTGCCTGGAGACTCTGTGGCCGGGAGCCTGGGAGACCATGTGGCTGAACATGGGGAGTATTCAAAAGTATTGGGAACCAAAAGCATGGCTTGTGGCCTTAGAAGTAGTGACACAAGCAACCTTGTCAGCTGGCTCCAGGTCTCTGTCCTTGAGGCTGAGCCAACACCATCACAATAAGCGCCAGAGCCCGTGGGCCCGGGGCGGTGGGAAAGT